TGTGGTGGTAATCTAACTATGCCACATTTTTCTGTACTAGGCTCGATGGGGAGCCTGAGCTTAGCTTAGCACTGGTAGAACCTCCTGCGCAGCAGATGCAGACACGTCTTGTTGATTGGGATACGCTATGCATCAAGGAAAGTCTAGATGAAGAGGGAAGACTTGAGATTGTTGATGACAAGGTGATGTATGAACTGTTGGGGTTTAGGGATGAGGATGAGGAGGCTGATAAGGCAAGGAAGGCAGCTAGTAAAGGCTGCGGTCAATAGAACGACGATACTTAGCAGAGGACCGAGGAAAGTTGATACAACTGGGGCAGCCATTGAAGTTGACGACTATTTACCAGGGGAGAGGACTGTGGTGCATGATCCAAATCGGCCTAGTATGGATCTTGGCATAGTTTATCCTAATATGAAGGAGTTTAGATTGATTGTGAAACAATTTGCTATAAATAAAGAGTTTGAACTACACATTGTCAAAACAGATCCAACTAGATACATTGCTGATTGCAATGGAGAAGATTGCCCTTCGCATCTTGTTGGGCGTAGACAGCCTGATGGGTGCACCATTATGGTACTAACTTTTATTTTGTGTTCCGTTAATTTTTCCCTTCAGTAACTTTAGGCTGGCAATGTTTTTGTCCTTCTTCTATATTGTTTGCCTTGATTAATTATTTTTTTATTGCAAGTGACAGTGGTTGTTGATGAGCATACATGTGAATCAAGTGCTAGGAGCAAGACTACCACACCAACCAGTGCTTGGGTTGCTTCAAAGGTAGTACATCACCTTAGGAAGAAAACGAATATAGGTCCTAAGAAACTGCAAGACACTTTACAGGATAAGCACAAGTGTATAATTCATTATGACACTGTTTGTAGAGGTAGGTAAATTGCTTTGAGAGAATTGTATGGCAAATGGGAAGAGAGCTTTCAGCTGCTATTCAATTGGAGGGCAGATGTCCTGAAGAGGTGTCCAGGTAATGTTATTGAGCTTAGCATTAAGGAGGTAGACGGCATGTTCTATTTGGAGATTTTTCTGTGCATTGAAACCTTGCATTGAAGGCTTTTTAGAAGGATGAAGGCCACACCTTATCCTATGTATCTAGACCTTAGTTAATTTATTTAGACCTATGTTATTGTAACTTAAATGGTACCTATGTATTGTGTGAACCTTTATGAAATCTACTATATTTCTATTATATTATTGTGATCATGAAATTGTGTCAAAATTCTTTCCAAATTCAATTGAAATTATGTCCAAATTCAAGCAAAATTCTGTCAAAAATTTGTCTAAATTCAGACAAGATTATGTCAAAATGAGACCACATGATCTGCATAAAACAAGTGAAAAATGACTCTTGATTCCAGGAAAACATCTTCTTCATTACATAGCACTTAGATGTTATTACAACATATGCTTCACTTGCTAATAAGCACTACATGCACATATAACTCACACACAACCACACAGACACACATTAGTTGTTCACTTCCACATAGAGGCAACCACAACACCAATCAGGACACCTACAAAGCCCATAAAAATAGAATAATCGATCACAATTTTCGGCTCAAGCTTTGGCTCATGAATCAGCTCAGGAATCGGCTCCGTAGGCTTCACCTTCAGTCTCCAAAGTTCAACTACAACACTGTCAAGTGTTTGCTTCAACTCTTACAATTCTGCTTTCAAGTCAGAGCAACAGTCACCTGATGCCTCCTTCTTAGCCTTCAGTCGGTGTTCTTGTGCTTCCAACTTCACATTCTGCACCTCATGGCGAATGTAACCACAGGTAGTTGGATCACCCTGCACTCAAAACACATCAATCAGAGCAGTAGTAAGAGACACAGTGAGGTCACCAATGTCAAGAATCCTTACCTTGATGTTGTACGGGCACTTGAGATACCACTCGCCCAAAGTCGTCGGCTGCTTGCTCTGGATCCGGACCAATGGAACATGGCAAAAGAGTGACTCACTACTGTCGCTACCCGTTGCGCTCGAGCCCGCCAAGGTTAGCTTATCGGACTTTTAGTCCAGTTCCCGGCCATGGCTACACAAGCTCGGTGGCGGGATCCCAAAGGAGAGCGCGGCCGCGGGCAGCAGTGGACTTGGGCGCGGGCACGGGCTCCAGGACGCCGGCGACTAGGGTTAGGGTGCGGACGTGGCGGCGGCCTGGCGCGGTATCGCGCGGACGCGTCAGGAGGAAGTGGCATCCGTCTCGTCTCTTTGTTCGATCTCCGTGAACGACCGTGAATAAAGAGATAAGGCTGAGGGGCAAAACGGGAAGGAAAAAATGCCATGGCAAAAAAAAAATTTGCCAATAAATCCGTCGCAGGGCATTTTAGCGGGTATGCCTTGTTTGATAACGACAAACGGGTAAAACCCATCTACGGGATGGCAAAATTGCAAAGCCCGCTTGACATCTCCGACGCTCCCCGAGGCTGCGGGGTGTGAGGGGCTCGCAGCGAGTTGACACTTGCTAGTAAGAAGTTGCCTTTTTTCAGTAATCACCATTTGGACGTGGCGGAAATATATACATATCACCACCATTTCGTATTGGGAAGCATATTCGACCAAATTTGACAGGAATTGTAAACATTCATTTCGTGCCTGACGAATGACATAGTCTCGATCAATGCCGAAAGCCAGTCTATGATATAAATTGAGCTTGACCTTAGTTTCAGTGATACTTGGGATAGCAGCATTGCATCCATAACATGGTGGTTATTAATAGTACTTAATGATAGCGATTGGCTCCATCTGCTCAAGTCAAAATGCTTCTCCTTAGCTTTTAAGTCAAAATTTCAGATGAACCATTTAAAATTTAAACAGCTTTTTGCCGGTGTTTTTATTTATTTAATTTACTTGTTTTTCAATGTCAGTCAATTAAGAAGAGTATAATGATCTCGGGTGCCACCATCAACAAAGGGAGATGCATATACTTGTACTAAAAAAAAGTCGAAAACAGATTCGATATAAGAATGAGTAAGAGAACAGAGAAATCAATGTTTCCAAAATTCCTCCACGAGATCAGAGGAAGCCTCACTCGCGGACGAGATCTTGGAAAAATCCCTCTCGCAAACGAAGAAATTGCCACAAAACAAGGCAAGGTTTTGGGACAGAATGCGTTTGCTGTGCTCTCACCAGAACATAAACGAAAATAACCCAATTAGGCAATTACCCAAGGACGAACGATTCTTCTGTGGACAGGAGAAGACATGTGCCAACCGAAAGGGCCCAGAAAATCACCAAGGGTGTCAGATCCAGGTGAGTTTAAGACGGCTCGGATTCAATCTCGCAAGATGGCAGGATGATTGCCGATTGCCTGGACCGGGTTCTAGTTCGAGGTCCAAACAAGAAGCTGATCTTGCGAACCACACACGATTTTGTCCAAATCAACGATAAACCAGAACAAAATAAAACCGATTGGGATGTTCTAGGAAAAGCAACAGAACCAAGAGGAAGCACTCTGCCAACCAAGATGTGATAAATAAAAGCACAAAAAAAGCTAGACGGAAAGAAGAAACACGGCGGGTCGTGGCAATCGGCGAACCGAGGCAGGCGGCGCAGGCGCAGGAGGAGCTTGGCGGGCGGTCGAGTGGATATATTAGTCCATCACACGCGTCCTCGCGCGCGTCTGCAAGGTAGGAAAGGAGATAAAGGGAAATTTTTAGCACCCGATTAATGTAATTATTTTTCTAAACATCACACGCGTCCTCGCGTGCGTCTGCAAGGTAGGAAAGGAGATAAAGGGAAATTTTTAGCACCCAATTAATATAATTATTTTTCTAAACAAAGATAGCTCCACTGCAATGTGGCTGCAGACAATATACATAACCAACAGCATGTACCATCACTAACTACAAAGAACAGCTCAAATATCCAAGCAATAATCTTGACCGAAGCTGCAGTAGATGGATATTAAATTGCAAGAGGTAGATGGCAACTCACATCCGTGATGATCACATAAATAATTCTGAAGCAAACGATGAGGTAGATGGCACTACAGGCGTCTCAGCAGGGCGTTTATCGATTCACAACCATATGAAGCGCCGACGCAACTGGCAAAAAATAAATAAAATACATATCGATGGAATCGGTACATAGGTATACCAAATCGAGAAACCAAGTATCAGATCTTACCAATAAGATGGTTGTAGGGACCGTCGGGCAGCGGCGTGAGCGAGGACGACCAGCCCTAGGGCATGTGACGGCATCGTAGGTGAGGTCAGGCAGCTCTATGACTCGTCGCGGCGTGGGGAGCGATGTCGACCAGCCCTAGGGCTTGGCGAGGAGGTGGCAGGGATCGGGCCTGCCAACCCTAGGGCACGGCATGGTGGCGGTGCAGGTGAGGATGGTCGTCGCAGGAGGAGAGACAGCAGAGCCGATGAGGAACCGTGGAAAGAAGGGGGCGCGGGATGGACCAGCGGGAGCGCTGGAGCTCGGAGGAAACCGGAGGCTGGCGACGGGCGAGCGGAGGAACGAGGAGGCGAGAGGAGAGGGCGGCGTTTTTTTTTTGGTCGGAGGAGTCGAGAAGGAGGTCGAGAGATATTTGTTCCCAAGCCAATGAACTGATGGCACGCAGGACGTCTACAGTAGGGAGCGGTGGGGTGAACCCAATACGTAGAAAGAAGATCATACGGTTTAAATTTTTTGTGCTATCGTGGCTAGGCTGAGCGACGGCCGAGGCTAGCCGGCTTAATGGTTCCCAAGCCAATGAACTGATGGCACGCGGGACATCTACAGTAGGGAGCGGTGGGGTGAACCCAATACGTAGAAAGAAGATCAGATGGTTTAAATTTTTTGTGCTATCGTGGCCAGGTTGAGCGACGGCCGAGGCTAGCCGGCTTAATGATAGTAAATGCGCACGAGCATGAGAGTGCTTACTTGGGCCGGCCCAATGTTAGCTCATACGGAAAAAATGGCCCAGTGGGTGTGTACAGTACAGGGCCCAAGCGTTGAAAGGCTCAAAAAAAAAGAATCCAACGGGATTTTCCGGCAGCTCACCGTCCCACGCCGCCGACCCGATCCAAAATCCGACCGTTGCGAAGAGCGCTCCCGTTCCCCTTTTCCTCTCCTCGCAGTCGCAGCGCGCACCAGAAAAGCTTTTCCGCCTCCTCTCCAACTGCGAATCTTCCGGCAGCTACCGCGCACGAAAGAAGCCCTTGCTCGTCCCGTTCAACCGGCGCCGTCGACTCCACCGGAGCGCGCCGTCGCGAGTTCCTCTCCGCGTCCTCGTTCTCCTTGCTGCTGGACCCGCTAGTGGAGATCGACCTGATTTCTCCTGTGCTGGTAAACCCTAGCTCTCTCCCTCCCTCCCTTTCCTTTCCCCCCCTCGTTCGCTGTGATGTGAACAAGTGAAGCGAAACCCTAACGTTCCTACGGTACATCGGCCCGTTTGGTCCAGATGCGGCCATTCTTGGGATGCCGCGTATGTGGATTTGTTCGCTGTTCCGAGCTTAGCCCTCCTTGTGGCGCATCTTCTTGAGCGCGCCCAAGGTCTCAGTGGGGATCACAATCCATCAGTTAGGGGAGCGAGGGGTTCAAAAATTCTTTCTTTGTTAATTTGTTGGCATAAGCAGATCTGATGCTTATGTAAAATCCCAGTTAGATCTTGGTTGACTTGGTAGTAGAGGATATGTGCGTTTTGATGTTCTTGGATTCACTAACTTAGGGGTGCTTCCGTCTATGTCATCTCAGTGGAAAGTGCTATCACATAGGTGCGCAAAGAAAGGTTGCATAGTTACATCACCAGGATCCTATCTAGACACTATCTCCTCTCTGTAAATTGTTCTGTTATGTAATTTTGCTAAATGAAATTTCAAAAGCAACCTCTGTAAAATGAAATGCAACTTCTTCCCCTGGTTCTGATCCAGTTTAATATGTTTTCCGTTTAGTGATACTTATGGATGAAAACGGATCGGATACGAACGGATATTACTGATATTACATTTGTTTTCATATTTCTGTCCGGATTCGGATTCGAATACGGATATTGTCAACCATGTCGGATAGGATACGATTGGATATCGACATCATAAATATGCGGTTTGATTACGAATATCCGGACTCGGATACGAACAAATCTGAATTCCTCTAAACGGATTCGGTCTCGAATTCGGTCGGAAAATATCTGTACCATTTTCACCCCTAACTGATACTTCAAATCCATATTAAATTTGCACCCGCAGAACTTATTTCAGATCTTGTTCAGTTTCTGTACAACAGAAATACCGTAAAGAAGTCACCATTTATAGAAGTCACCATTTATTGTTTCTATGTTCTGATTAGTTTATCTTTGCAGTCAATTGGATATTAGCCAGGCTTTCAAGGTAGAACAAGAAGCTTTTTGTTCCATCATGGCCTTACCAACTCCAGTACCTGTTTTGTTTGATGAGAACCAACAGATAAATAGAGGTGAGATTGCATTTTTATCAAAAACTAATTTGTGAAAAGGAATTTTCCTGAAATAGATACATTTTTTATCTGCATGTTCAGGTAAGATGGCTGATGGACTAAGGGCCAAAGGGCTGAAGCCATCCGAGAATCCTGGCAAGCAAGGGAGGAGAGCTCTTCATGATTTGTCCAACGTTTCTAAAGGCACTGGTTTGAAGGACACTTCCACCCTGAAAGAGAAGTCCCAGCAGAAACCTCGTAGTAATGTGACCAACTCTATTAAAGGCACTGCTTTGAAGGACAAGCCCATCCTGAAAGAGAAGTCCACCCAGAAACAGAGGTCAGAAGCTCTTAAGAACCCACTGAAAATTTTAACTGATGAAGAGATCAAAATGTGCCATGAGTGGGCTAAGGATGGGGTGGAGGGATTTCACTCGACACAAAATGATTCTCAGAAGTTGGATAAGGATCTGCTAGACAAACGTATGATCGTTCTTCTTGGTTCTTAAATATGTGTCATATCTATATATGTCTAATTATGCATGCTATTTAGGTGTCAAGAAGAAAGTGGCAGCGGTAAACTCAGCCTTGCATGGTTGGTCGGTATTTGATTCTCTAAAGTTTCCAGCTAAGGTATGTGGCCCAATATCACACAATACTTTTAAAAATTCGTGCAGGTTGTTCATAAGGTTGAAGTATGTTATCAACAACAACAACAACAAAGCCTTTAAGTCCCAAACAAGTTGGGGTAGGCTAGAGTTGAAACCCAGCAGAAGCAATCAAGGTTCAGGCACGTGAATAGCTGTTTTCCAAGCACTCCTATCTAAGGCTAAGTCTTTGGGTATATTCCATCTTTTCAAATCTCATTTTATTGCCTCTACCCAAGTCAACTTCGGTCTTCCTCTGTCTCTCTTCACGTTACTATCCTGGCTTAGGATTCCACTATGCATCGGTGCCTCTGAAGGTCTCCGTTGGACATGTCCAAACCATCTCAACCGGTGTTGGACAAGCTTTTCTTCAATTGGTGCTACTCCTAATCTATCACGTATATCATCGTTCCGAACTCGATCCCTACTTGTATGACCGTAAATCCAACGCAACATATGCATTTCCGCGACACTTATCTATTGAACATGTCGTCTTTTCGTAGGCTAACATTCTGTACCATACAACATAGCAAGTCTAATCGTCATCCTATAAAACTTACCTTTTAGCTTCTGTGGTACCTTTTTGTCACATAGGACACCAGATGCATATGCATTTCCGCGACACTTATCTGTTGAACATGTCGTCTTTTCGTAGGCTAACATTATGTACCATACAACATAGCAAGTCTAATCGTCATCCTATAAAACTTACCTTTTAGCTTCTGTGGTACCTTTTTGTCACATAGGACACCAGATGTTTGGCGCCACTTCATCCACCATGCCTTGATTCTATGGCTAACATCTTCATCAATATCCCCGTCTCTCTGTAGCATTGATTCTAAATATCGAAAGGTATCCTTTCTAGGCACTACTTGACCTTCCAAACTAATATCTTCCTCCTCTCGAGTAGTAGTGCCGAAGTCACATCTCATATACTCGGTTTTAGTTCAACTTGAGTCTAAAACCTTTGACTCAAAAGTCCCCCGCCATAACTCCGGTTTCGATTCACTCTTGTCCGACTTTCATCAACTAGTACTACATCGTCTCATGAAAAGCATACACCAAGGGATGTCCCTTTGTATGTCCCTTGTGACCTCATCCATCACTAAGGCAAACAGATAAGGGCTCAAAGCTGACCCTTGATGAAGTCATATCCTAATCGGGAAGTCATCCGTGTCTCTATCACTTGTTCGAACACTAGTCACAACATTGTTGTATATGTCCTTAATGAGCCCGACGTACTTCGTTGGGACTTTATGTTTGTCCAAAGCCCACCACATAACATTCCTTGGTATTAAGCCTTCTCCAAGTCAATAAAAATCATGTGTAGGTCCTTCTTTTTCTCCCTATACCGCTCCATAACTTGTCTTATTAAGAAAATTGCTTCCATGGTTGACCTACTGGGCATGAAACCAAATTTGTTAATAGAGACCCGCGTTATTGCTCGCAAACGATGCTCGATAACTCTCTCTCTCATAGCTTCATAGTATGGCTCATCAACTTAATTCCCCGGTAATTAGTACAACTTTCAATATCCCCTTTATTCTTGTAGATCGGTACCAATATACTTCTCCTCCACTCGTTAGGCATTTTGTTCGATCGAAAAATATGGTTGAACAACTTGGTTAGCCATACTATAGCTATGTCCCCGAGGCATCTCCACACCTCGATTGGGATACCAACCAGCCCCATCGTCTTACCTCCTTTTATTCTTTTCAACATCTCTCTGACCTTAGATTTTTGGATTCTCCGCACAAAGTGCATATTGTTGTCATCAAAAGAGTCATCCAACTGAAAGGTTGTGTCCGTATTCTCACAATTGAACAATTTGTCAAAATACTCTTGCCATCGATGTCGGATCTCATCCTCCTTCACCAAGAGATGCTCCCTTTCATCCTTAATGCACTTAACTTGGTTGAAGTCCCTTATCTTTCTCTCACGAACCCTAGCCATCCTATAAATGTCCTTCTCTCCTTTCTTCGTACCCAAATGTTGGTAAAGATCCTCGTACGCTCTACCATTTGCCACACTTACAGCTCGCTTTGCAGTCTTCTTTGCCACATTGTACTTCTCTATGTTGTCCACACTCCTGTCATGGTACAAGTGTCTATAGCATTCTTTCTTCTCCTTAGTAGCCCTTTGGACTTCCTCGTTCCATCACCAAGTATCTTTAGCCTCGTCTCCACTTCCTTTGGTTACTCCACACACCTCTGAGGCCACCTTCTGGATGTTGGTTGCCATCTTCTCCCACATGTTGTTTATGTCCTCTTCTTCCTTCCAAGAGCTCTCTTTGATAACCCTTTCCCTAAATACCTCTGACGTCTCCCCTTTCAGTTTCCACCACTTTATTCTTTCAATCTTAGCTTGTTTATCCCTACGGGCACGCACCTGAAAACGAAAGTCTGCCACCAAAAGCTTATGTTGAGAAACAACACTCCCCTGGTATCACCTTGCAACCCAAGCATGTTCGTTTGTCCTTTCTTCTTGCGAGGACAAAGTCAATCTGGCTAGAGTGTTGTCCGCTACTGAAGGTCACTAGATGAGATTCTCTCTTTCTAAAGAAAGTGTTGGTTATCATCAGGTCAAAAGCTACCGCGAAGTCCAGAACTTCCTCCCCCTCCTGATTCCTACTACCATACCCAAAACCTCCATGAACTGCCTCGAAACCTGCGCTTGTAGTACCTACATACCCATTAAGATCTCCTCCTATAAAAAGTTTCTCACTACTAGGTACATCTCTAATCAGGCCATCTAAGTCTTCCCAGAACTGTCTCTTAGCACTCTCGTCGAGGCCTATTTGGGGGCATACGCACTAATTACGTTCAAGACCATATCACCAATGACAAGCTTAACTAAGATAATCCTATCTCCTTGCCTTCTCACTCCCACCACACTATTCTTGAGGCTCTTATCAATCAAAACTCCTACTCCATTTGTATTTAGTGACTGTCCCTGTGTACTAAAGCTTGAAACCTGTATTGTCCACCTCCTTCGCCTTTTGACCCTTCCATTTAGTCTCTTGAACGTATAATATATTTACACGCCTCCTAGTCGCGGTATCAACTAATTCTTTTAACTTACCTGTAAGCGACCCTACATTCCAACTACATAAACGGATCCTAGTTGGTTCGACTAGCTTCCTTACCCTTCGCACCCGTCGACTCAGATGTGAAGACCCTTGCTCATTTTTCACTACACCCGGGCGCCGATGTAGCGCGCCACTAAGGATGCGACGACCCGATCCTTGCTCACTTGACACCGTGCCCAGATCGCGACACGGCGTGTCACAGGGGTGACGGCCCGGCCCTTGCTCATTTAACACCATACCCGGGTTCCGATATGGCGCGTCGTTAAGAGGGTTACGCCCCAACGGT